CTAGTTTGCACGTGTGTGTGTGTGTAATCTTTAGGGTGTTACAGATATAAGATCATGTCATCCACAAGTAGAGAGAGTTTTTCTGCTTTCCAATTTAAACGTCTGTTATTTCTTTTTTTTTTTTTGCCTAATTGCTATGGCTAGAAATTTCAGTACTATGTTGAATAGAAGTTCCTGATCTTGAATAGAAGTGATGAGGAAGTGGGCATCCTTGTCTTGTTCCTGATCCAAGGGGAATAGTTTTCAGCTTTTTACTATTGAGAATGATGACTAGCTGTGTTTTTCACATATGGCCTTTATCATGTTGAGAGAAGTTCCTTCCATTCCTAGTTTATTGTTTCTATCATGCAAGGGTGTTGGATTTTGCCAAACACTTTTTCTCCATCAGTTGAGATGGTAGTGTGATTTTCTCCCTTCATTCTATTAATGTGATGTATTACTTTGATTTCCATATGTTGAACCATCCTTGCATTCCTGGAATAAATCCCACTTGATCATGGCACAGAATCCATTTAGATGCTGCTGATTTCACTTACTGGTATTCTGTTGAGGATTTTTGCATCTATGTTTACAAGGGCTATTGGTTTGTAGTTTTTTTGTAGAGTCTTTGTCTAGCTTCAACATCAGGGAAATGCTGGAATGAGTTGGGAAGTGTTCCCACCGCTTCAATTCTTTTGGAAGAGTTTGAGAAGGACTGGTGTTAAATCTCCTTTAAATGTTTGGTTGAATTCACCAGCAAAGCCATCTGATCCTAGGCTTTTCTTCACTGGGAGTTTTTTGATTACTGATTCAATCTCCTGATTTGTTATAGGTCTATTCAGATTTTCTATTTCTTCTTGAGTCAGTTTTGGTAGTTTGCGTATTCTTAGGAACTTCTCTATTTCATCTTTGTTGGTGCGCAGCTGTTCATAGCAGTCTCTTATGACCCTTCTTATTTGTGAAGTGGGTGGTTGTGTATTTGAGGGGTCCTTCTCAGTGTCCCAGATCACCTAACCACTTCCACTTCAAGTGTCCCAGAAAGAACAATCATATGTGATGAGCTTCCACTTCGGGTAAGCCTCTTGGCCCTTGAGCCCCATCCTCATCAGCCTCAGGACAAAGGTGGCAGTGCCACCCCCATGCTCAGGCTCAGGCATTGGAGCTGCATGAGTCTGACAGGAAGAACTGGATCAGGCTTTCCTGAGCACTCGCTGTGCAGAGGGCTCATGCTGAGGGCTGTCCAGGCACTGTCTCCTTACTTCTCACAACAGCCCTGCTACCTGTCACCTATTACCATTCCCATTTCACAAATGAGGAGACTGAGGCTCAGAGCTATGAGGTACTTGCCCAGGGTCACACACCAATATGACCCTGTATGAAACCAGGTCTACCTACCTGTGTATATTTCAACAACTGTGCTGTACAGCCTCAGCCCTTTGCAAGGGAGAACACCCCAGAATGGGGCAAAAGCTGGAGAGCCCAAGATCCAGCTCCCTCCTCCTACTCTGAAAGGTGTGAGAGAGTGGAACCTCCCCAGGCACCGCGGGCAAAGAACCTCCACCCACTACCACGCAAAGCAGCCAATAACCCTCCATTCAGTGCCCAGAGGTACGGGTGAAAGAGCAAAGTGCAGAATAGCATGAGGGGTGCAAGGCAGCAGAGTACGTCTATGTACTAAGCTGCTCGTATATGTAAAACTATTTCTGGAAAGACCCACAGAAACTGGTAGTCATGGTTTCCTCTAAAGAGGTGAGCTGGGGGACAAGGGTCAGGGGCTGGAGGGAGACTTACACCTCACTACATGCCCTGTTATGTTGTTTTGCATGCATGGATATTTACATACTGTTAAGTGACTTTATAGACTCCCCAGGACTGCCCAGGCCCCAGCCCTGGGAGGCGCAGGGCAGGCTGAGCTCTCCCCACTCGGCCTTGTGGGCATTGCACTTCCTAGCACAAAGCCAAGGCACAGTCCCAGCCACAGGCCCAGGAGGCAGGACTGCCCGGTGAGCTTCAGGCTGTGGAGTCTCGCAGACCAAGGGCTCCCAGCTATGTGATCCTGGCAGAGTTACTTAACCTCTCTGAACCTAAGATTCCTCATCTGTATAATGGGAATGATGAGAACGCCTACCTCAGAGGGTTGTTGCGAGGACTAAAAGATAGTATTTGATAAGCAGAGGGCCTGACACATAGGGAGAAGTACTTTTTATTATTCACATTTAACTTATTGATATTATTATTTATAATATTACTACCCCACCATTAACCACCAGCCCCAGTCTTTGGAGAGGTTCACACCGACTCTAGCCGGTAAGCGGCTGGGGTGATATTGCCCCCTGGTGGACATGTTCTGAATTGCACCAGACAAGTCTGACCCAGGAGAGAGCATTCAGTCCAAGTTCAGCTCCATTTCTTCCCTTTTACCCATAAACATTTCAGCATGTACTTCTTAAGAACAATGATATACTCTTACATAACAGCACAATAATCAAAATCAGGAAATTTAACATTGATACTATTATCTAATCCATACAGTCCCTATTCACGTTTTGCCAGTAGTCCCTGTGGTGTCCTTTACAGCTAGTTGTTGCCTGGTCCAGGACCCCTCCAAGGTCACACGTGACATTTGATTGCCAGGTCTCTTTAGTATCCTTTAATTCTGCACCATTTCTCAGCCTTCCTTTATCTTTCATGACCTCGATATTTTAGAGTTCAGGCCAGTTATTTTGCAAAACGTCCCTCAACAGGGATGCATCTGCCATTTCCTCTTGGCAAGATTCATGTGATGTGTTTTTGTCAGTAATTTCACAGGCGTTAGGCTGTGTCCTTCTCACACAATGTTGGTTTGTCCCAATACTGCTGATGTTACTCTAACCACCCCCCACCCCCCACCCCATATGAGCATGCGGGAACCGAGCTCTGAGGGCAGGGAGGAGCTGAGAGTTGCCAGGAATGAACAGCAAGTCAGGATCCCCCACTCCAGGTCTGGACACGTGCTCAGGATAACCTCAGCAAGGCGAGAACTTCCCCCCGCCCCGACCCTGGGCCTCCTCAGGCCCTGAACTCCAACGGGAGCCTAAGGGTTGGGTGAAGGACAGCTGTGTTACCTTCATGGCACCATCCCCACTGTAGTGCAGTTGCCTGGAGCCCCCACTTTCTGCTTCATCCATTTCTAGTTATTTTTTATAAAGACTTTTTTCATCCCACAAATAATATATGAATATATCATTTTTGTTTTTTAAATGTTTCGCCCAAGCTAAAGTCCTCTTTGAAAACCGTCCCTTCCCAGTCTCCTCTCCCTCCTCCAGAAGTAACCACTGTAATCAGTTTGGTCTGAGAGATATGTATCTATACTCCCAGAAAAAAACAAAAGAAAACATACTATGTAGCATTCTCTCTCTACAAATGGTCACACTGTATAGGTCAATCTTGTAGAAATTTCCCTGGCAAGACCTGAAGATTGAGCTAACGATTGTCAACTGTATCATCGTGTTCCAGAACGTGGCCATTTAACTGATCCCCTATGGATGGACATCAAGGTTGTTTCTGGTGCTTTGCTATTATGAAACACACCACCCTGTGCACACGATCCGGGGCTTCTCCGAGGCAAGTGCCCACTGCTGGAAGCCTGGACTGCTCCTGGGGTACCAGACCCCCTGAGCGGACTCCTCACTCTGGGGGATGAGGGTCTAAGGTGCCTTTATTCACTCAACCTGTTAGAACTGCAGGACTTTCGGGACCTCTGGGAGTAGCTGGGCTGGGTTTTCACAGTGTTTCAAGGAATCTCAGGGTTCCGAAATACGAGGGGGCACAAGGAGGTGGAGTTGAGCTTGTGAGAGTTCAGATCCTCACCTCCCAGTCCAACCAGAGCACCCCTGCCTTTACCTGCTTTTCAATTAAGTTTCTAAGAAAGAATCTCGGCTGTTTTAAAATAAAAAGTCTCTGATGCAGCCAGACCCCTTACCTGGCACAGGAATCCCTTCGTATCACGCCTTCTGGATCTGTTCCTGCTGACGCAGCATCCAGCCAGTTCTTGTTGGTGATGCCACATGAGCCGCAGCAAGCTCCCAGCTAACAGAGCCCAAAGCCCTTGTGCCGCTGGGGTTGGCGTTTGGGTGTGCTCACCGCTGCATCCCAGCACGCCGCCGTGGCAGCTGCCCACATTTCTGTGCACCGTCTCTGGCTCACACTTGGTGTTCCCAAAACTTCCTCTGTATCAGGGAGTTTGTAAAAATGCACATTGCTGGGTCCCGCATCCAGAGGTTCTGATTGAGTGGATTTGCGGGAGCCCGGGAACGTGAATTTTTTAAAAGCTTCGCAGGGGATTCTAAGAGAGCAGGTCCAGACCCCTGCACTGCAGACGGCAGCCAGAGCCTCGCTGCCCAGGCTCTGCCCCTCCCTGGCAAATCATTTGTTTTACCCAAAGTTTTAGTTCCTCACACAGTGGGACTCTGAATCAATTAGAACCAAAGGAACCAGCAATTGCAACCAGGGTTTCCCAAAGCAGGGTGCCTCAGCGTGCTGAAGCATTAGCCCCACATCTGCTGGAGATGACTCTCTGGAGGTGTGGCCTGAGGATCCACATTTTAAGCAAATTCTCCAGGAAAAGCCACTGAGTCCACTTGTTCCATACCCCTAAAGATGAGGGAAACTGAGGATCAGACAGTAAAAGTGACTTGTCCCCAGTCAACAACACACGTGTGTGACGTTTGTGACAGAAGTGGTTCCAGAGGCTAAGCCTCCTCTCGGTGTAGTGCTCAGTTCCCAGCACTTCTCAACGACCTGGCGTGTCCGGAGGCTCCATGTCATCTGAGACAGCTGAGGCGACCCAGCTGCCCTGGGACAGGACTCTGCTATCTGGAAAAGCTTCCGTTTACAACCCCATGGAAATGATCTTTGATATTACATGTGTGTGTGTGTGTGGATGTGTGGCCAGACTGGCTGTGTGTGCAAACAATATCCCTATTTCCACCCATCCCTGGAGACCTGGCAAAAAGGCCAGACAGACAGACATGACCAACACGTACAAACAGAACCCCACTTTATTAGCAGTTAGTTCAAGATTGTACATTAATGGAGGAAGGTTCCCACTTGTAACGCAACCCAAAACGGCTGGTTCGAGAGCCCTGATCAGGTGAACTGGGTAGCACCCCCTCTCCATACCTCTCCCCACCCCCACAGGGCAGGAAACCTCTGCCTGCTCCCCTAACGTGCCCCCCACCCTCTCCAGTCAGCCCTCTCCTCTCCCCAGGAAATGACATGAATTTCATGCACAAATTACAAAAGGAGCCCTCTTGCTGATAATAAAAGCTAGCACAGTCATAGAAAACCCTCTCCTCCCTCATTCTCAAGGGCCAGAGAGGGAAAGGATGAACTCATTAGGATAAAACACAGCCAGAGTCTCCCCAGGCCCTTGACATCGACACCACACAAAGCCCATGCCTGTCCCTCCTTCCTGGGAGCTAAAAAAAAAATCTCTGGCCGCCTGGGCTGGTGAGGGCAAGCCGGGGGGGAGTGGGGGGAGCAGACAGCCCAGGGCAACAAATCGGAAACCCAGTGTTGCCTCAGGGGTGGGGGTCAGGGTGCTGGGCCCTGCCTCCTTCTCTGACGTTTGAAAAGCCCTGCTGTAGCCCCGCTTGCTCATTCTATAAATGGGGAAACTCAGGCCCTGGGAGAAAAACTCACGCAGCTACTAAATGTACCCAGTTGGGATGAAATTTCACATCTCCTGCCTCCAGCCCAGTGCTCTTCTCCTCACACCACAGCTTGGGGGAGGCAGCTCCCCAGCTGGGCCCTTCCCTGGTGCATCCCAGGGGCCTGGCTCTGCTCCAGTGCACAGAGACCACAGGCCCCCAGGACGTAAAAACCCGGAGACCACAAAACAGAGAGAGAAAAAGAGAGAGATGCTGTTTGGTGCCCTGTGGTCCATTACCAGAATCAAAGCGGGCAGCACAAGCTCCTCTGAGCCAGAGATGTCTCATGCCCAACAGGTCCAACACTGCCTGGCCCAGTCTCCGAGCACGCAGCCTCTTCCTTCTAGAGGGCCCCTGGCCCTTCCTCCCGGGCCCAGCTGTGATGCTGCCTCCGTTGCCTCCCCTGAGCTCCTGGAGCTCTGGCAGACCCTCTGCTGGTGTGGCACCTGGTACAGGTGACATTAGAGGGACATCTTAGGCTGGAATGAAGATGTCAACTCAGCACAAAAGGCAAAAATCCATATCGCCTAAATTACCCTTGACGATACAGGTGCTAGAGGAACTTGCTCTATGAGACCACGAAGAAACCATCAGACACTCCAGAATGTGGGACTTCTACAAGACAGCAGGCCTGTGGCCTCAGAAATAATGTCACTTAGGAAATCAGAGTGAGCAGAGAGAACTTTTCAGCATTCAAAGAAATTTTTAAAACACAGCTACAAGATGCAATATGTGCACCTTAACTGGATCCTGATTCCAAAGCCAGGTATAAGCCACCTTGGGGAAATGTGAACATGGACTGAGCAGCAGACGTTGTTAGGAAATCACTGTTGTCTTGGGTGTGACAGGAGCCAACATGTAGGAGAAAGTCCTGTCTTGGGAGGTGCAGGCTGAAGTAAGCTGCCTTCATTTCTTGGAGTGAAATCTCAAGCTATTTGCAACTTACTTTTAAACTAGTTCAGAAAAAATATACATGGGGAGAGAGAGAGAGAAAGGTAAAACAAACGTGGCAAAATGTTAATTTTAAATCTACATGGTGGGTAGTGGGCATTCATAATAAAATATGTTGTAAAACTTTTTTTTTACTTGCTCTTTCCACTAACAGATCACCAGGACCGCTCCACGCTGGGAGCCCCAATCTCTGTGGGTCAGCCCAGCAGTTCTCCTCTCCTGGGAACAGACCTCTGCTCTCTCAGCTGAGCCTCAGACGCACTGGCTGCTCCTCCTTAGGGGCTCAAAAGAGGCACCTTTTAAACTTCAGACTTGTCCTCCAAGCACAAGACGCTGGCACCATGGGTGGCTCTAGAATCCAGAGTGACTGAGGCAGCAGTGGATGACACATCCCACCTGCACCCACCCTGGGGCAAAGGCTCGTGGAGGGGATGGCAGAACAGAAGGAGGAGTCATGTACATAAATTAAGCTATTTTTCTCCTTTTCTTTCTTTTGGCCAAACGCCTACAGTGAATTAGTGAACACTGCAGACACTGCTGCTGCCATATCCACTGACCTCTGGCTCTCTCCTCTCGTGAGGGCAATCTGGGTGCTCGGTGGCTAAGAGGCCCTGGAAGGACTCATCTCCTCTCTCCCCAGTACCTGCAGGTCCTGGCAGTGGGTCCTCGAGAAAGATTCCTTAGTGGGAAGGGAAGAAGTGGCAGTGACCAGACAGACTCAGAACATGTGTCAGGTCAAGTCCCCAACCTCCCGGAAGGGCCTGGACAAGAATCCCGAAGATTTCCTCTGCTCGCCCCGGGTCTCCAACCTGCCTGCTCCTTCCTCAGGCCAGAGGCAGGAGAAGTGGAGCCTGCCCACCAGGCATTCTGAGCTCTGAGAGACAGGGGCAGGCATCCAGGCCCAGAGGGTCGATTTGAGAATGTGGGAGTTGTACCCCTCACGGGGCATGGAGCCCAAGCCCCTTGCTGACAGACGGGAAGTGAGGCCTGGGATTCGCACCAGGCAAGTCGCTGCCCGGTTCAGGGAGTCTGGTTCCAAGGCATGGGCAAGTCTTCATGAGCGTACAAGCAAGCATGCCACCCTGTCCTCAGACACTCTGCTCCTCATGCCCTGCGGGGTCGACATTACCCAGGGTTCCCAGGCTCAAAGGCCCTGGTGAGAAGCATGACAGGAACACTTCTCTTGGTAGACAAGGAAACCACACGCAGCTGGTCCCGCTGAGCATCCAAACTCTCTTCTCCATCCCAGTGGAGAACTTGAGAAAAGGGATCCGGTTCAGAGTTAAAATAGACGCAGGCCCCAGAGGCTGGGAAAGGATCTTTCAAGGTGGGGAGAGCAAGACAGGGATGCAAATGCACATCTGGAACTGAGAAGGCTCCAAGGCACCCTGGCAGGGAAGGAGTGGTTTGTCCCCATATCCTGGAATGAGCAAGGGTGTGACTGAGGGAGGGAGAGGAACCTGGCACAGAGTAGGGTTCCAAGGATGGGCTCAGAGGCAGTGTGGCATTGGAAGAAGAGCACTGGACTCAGAATCGGAGCCTCAAGTTCAGTTCTTGGTCCTGCTCCCCACCAGCTCTGTGACATAGCCAAGGAGGCCACCTCCCCTTTCTGGACCTGTTTCCATACCCGTCGAAAGACCCTTCCAGCCCCAAGACGCTAGTCTTCTGAACAAGACAAGGCTCTCCAGAAAGGATTTCCTGGGTGTCAGTTCGAAGTTGAACTGGCAGTGGGAGGTGCTGGGGAGAGGCACCCAGCTGTAGTCACTTCACATTGTTAAAAGAAGGGGGGTAGGAGCAGACCCCAACCAGAAAATAGCCCAGAGATCCTGTTGTCTGCAGGGGGGCCCTGGAGACAGTTCTGTGGGTCACGGCGGGCATCCCTGCTCCCAGGGCAGCTCCCAACCTAGCACCATGTGAGGGCGAGGGGAATAGGCCAGCCTTCGGCCCCGGGTCTCCTACCCCAGCCCAGCTGTTTCCTTTGGCCAAACTTCCTCCAGGGTCACTGCACTTCATGAAGCCAGATTTCCTGGAGAGAGTAGGTCTTCCTTGTGCATCTCACCACCTCTGTTCACCTGGGGTAGCCCCCAGGACAGCCATGGCACTTGGGAGAGGGAACAGAGACCTCTCCAAGGGCACCTCCAGACTGTCTCCTTGAGGCCCCGACACATGAAGACATGCCCTCCCCCCACCCTCTTCCATTTCATTCTCTAGCACTGACATATGACACCCTTTGGGACTGGGGCTTGCCACCATTTTGTACAACTGAATTAAAAACAAACCCAACCAAAAAAAAATATAATATATATATACACATTATATATATATATATATATAACACAGTGTGACCCCAGAACCCAGGGTATAAACTCTGGCACCAAGAAAAAAAAAATATTAAAATACTTTAGCTTCTTAGTATTTGGGAGGTTAAGGGGGTCTCTAGGAACCCTCGGCCACAGGTAGCTGGGGCAAAGCCATGGATGGCAGTCAAACTGACTCTGCCCAGTGTCTGCCAGGGGCCAAGGCTGGGTGGGCAGGGGAAAACATATGTACATTGGAACATGTATACTGGCAGACTCCTGAATGCCTCAGTCTTTTACCACAGGAAACACCACACATGTCATATCCCAGGGTGAAGAAAGTGGGTAGGATGGAGGCCTGGGTCTCTGGGTCCAAATGGCATGGCAGTGCCCCAGGGCCCTGAAAGAGGCCTTGAGGACTGGGTGGATACTGTGGAAACCAGCAATTCTTTCCCCAAAAAGGGAAGGTGAGGTGTGAACGTATTAACCAGGATGTGTGTGGACGTTCAGAGTTCTCTTGAGGTGGCCACCCTCACATCCAGCTGAACTCTCTGAAGGGCCCAGCTCGAAACAGTCAGGGAAACATCCAGTCTCTCTCCCTGGTTTGGCAAAAGGCCCGGCTGGGCTCTGCTCCCTTTTGTCTGGAGGACAGGGAAGATGTGGCAGCTAATACTGAGGGGACACCCTGCTAGGACACGGGGTGACGTGATGGAGGAGAGGGTATGGTAGGTAGAACACAGTGAGGAACAGAACAGAGAGTCTCAGGGACTCCCTCCTATCAGGAAGTCGCCTTCCACCAATAGGAAGCGGCCTCCCCATGAAAGGCTATGAACGGAAAGGACCTCAGGTGGCTAGGGAGGTCCTATAGGCCACAGACCCAGCACTGGATGCTCTGAGGCGCTTGTAGACCTGCCTGGGCTCTTCTCCCGGCCCTGCCTGGGCCTCAGCAGAGTATTGCTCATAAGTGCTTGGCCAGCCCGGGGCCCAGCTCCCCACTCTGCAGGTCAGTCTGGCTCAGCATGTGGCGGGATGTCCCTGCCGTCACAAACGTTCAGTCCAGCTGTGGTGGCCACGGCTACCTGGTGTTCTGGAGGTCCTCCCGCAGCCAGGTGGGCAGTGTCTGGCCCATCTTGTACAGCAGTTTGGAAAGCTCGATGTTGTGGTCCCGGTAATAGTCCTTCAGGAAGGTGCGGGACTGTAACAGGAAGGAAAGCTCAGATCTTGGTGACGTGCTGATTCAAGAATGACCCCTCCTCTTTAAAACCATTCTGTTGGCGTCCTCCCATACACCTATTATTTATTCACAATCTTCTTCAACAGGCTGGCCTCCAAAAGAAAACTCCTATACAGTAGAAGCACCAACATATAGCACACAAGGTCAAAATCCTTGTGATATGGGGCCGGCCCAGTGGTGCAGCAGTTAAGTGTGCACGCGCCACTTCAGCGGCCCGGGGTTGGCCGGTTCAGATGTCGGGTGTGGACATGGCACCGCTCGGCAAGCCAAGCTGTGGTGGGCGTCCCACATATAAAGTAGAGGAAGATGGGCACAGATTGTGAGCTCAGGGCCAGTCTTCCTCAGTAAAAAGTGGAGGATTGGCGGCAGATGTTAGCTCAGGGCTAATCTCCCTCAAAGAAAAATAAAAAAATAAAAATAAAACAAAATGTAAAAAAAAAAATCCTTGTGATAGGGAGAAAAGAGAGAGAATTAATCAAAACCAGGAGCAAACGGGAAAAAGGAAACAGAACAAGAGTCACAGTTTGTGACCTTCCCCTAATCCTGTGTACAGGCTGTTGTCTCCTGCAAGAATGCCCGAGCCTCCCACGCCCTGGGTCCAAAGCTACCCCATCCCTCTAGGCCCAACTCCAGAGCCCCCCCCTCGCCTCTGAGAAGCCTTCTTCACCTTCCCAGCTTTCCAGGGCATCTCCTTGTTCTGAATTCCCATAGCACTTCTGTGCACCTCTCTTACTGCACGAAGCACTTCCTGCCTTGTATTCTCCTTATTGGCGTGTGTGAGTCATTTCCCTCCCAGACTCCTTGTCTGGGACGACATTTCCCTGTGTGCCTCCTTGAAGCCACAGAACATGTCTGATTCCGCCTCAAAGCCCCACAGCATTCAGCCCTCAGTAGAAGGTAATAAATCCTCACTTGACTAAACCAATTCTAACCCACCATGTCCCAAACCCTATTTCCTCCTCTTAAGAACACCATCCAAGAAATGCCAAGGCCATTAACACGTAGGGTGTGGGGTAAAGGGGAGAGAAGACTCCCTCCAGTATAGGGGCCCCCTCTACCTGTCCAGCCGCCAAGGCAGCGTGTCTACCACTTACATCCAAGTCCATCTCTGGGTATTTCCGGCCCTTGCTTTTGCCCAGACACTTGGTTTTTCCTCCTTCAAGCAGTTGGCACCAAAATCCTTTCTTTGGATCAAACCTGTGGAGGTGGGGAACGCCTGTGGATGAGAGCTGGCCCAGCCCAGCCCCTTCCCACCTTAAGGCAGTGTTCACAGATCCCAGGAATGGCAGAGCCTAGGAGACCACGGAATCCACTCCCCTACACACACTCGAACCCACAGACTGTGAGGGGCTGATGTTCGCATCTGTCGGCCCAAGTTCTGCCCCTGGGCCACGCTAACCACGCCTACCCTTCTTCCCAGCAGAGGGCAGCGCACATGCTCTGAGCCTTCTCTGCTGGCTGGGCAGCCTCAGCTCCTGCAGCGTCTAACATCCACACTTCCGTCCTTCATTATTCTGGGAAACCTCTTCTGAGCAGTCTCCAACTCAGGGGTGAGCAACATTTTTTCACCCAAGACCCCAACAAGGGGAAAACGTTTGGTGGAGGTTCTTTTGTTTTTCAGTAAATTGTATTTTTATCAAGAAATGCAATATCTGTAGTTGTACTTAAGCATGTCCATCACTGGAAAGTTTCATTTTTGGGAGTAAATTTCAGAAATGACAGAGCAAGACTGCCTTCAGGTTCTAAGTTATGCTGGAGCTTCAAAAGCATTTTTGGGAGATGAGATCTGAAGGTGTCACAGCAAGGGGAGGCATACTGGCATCAGAATTCAGCCCCAGATCAGGAACCGTCAGGAGATTCCTGGGCATGAGGACAGCAGGAAAACAAAAATTCACATTTGGCAGGCGAGGGAGACATGGAGTCCTGGGTGGGTCACAGAGTAGGCATGGCTGATGATGATGGCGATGGTGATGACGATGATGATGATGATAGTGGTGGTGGTGATGATAACAGCAGCCACTGTTTATTGGGCATCAGTACATGCCAGGCACTGAACTAAGAGCTGCGTGTGCATGCTTTCATTCAATACAGTGACCTTTGGGAGGTAGGAATTAGTACCTTTATCCCAAACTTATAGATGAGCAAAGTAAGGCTTGAAGGAGTTAAGACACTTGTCCAAGGTCACACAGCTAAAGAAGTAGTGGGTGTGGGATCCTAACCCAGGCATCTCTGATGCACAGCCCACACCCTTAGCTGCTGCTCTTTCTGCCTCAAGGTGGACAACGGACTTCCCTTCTCCACCTTCAACTTCCAAGACAGTGAGAAGGGGACATTCTTGCTGCAACACTTTCCCAAGAGGGTAGCCAGGGAAGGTGACTTTACGCCTCCTTCTCTTGAGACCCCCTCATCCAGCTGAGTGTGTCACTTGTCCATGACACAGCACTGGGAGACGGCCTCTCCCCAGCCCTGAGCCCCTGCAGCACAGGTGGCATTCACTCATCCTGGGAGGGCGTTCTTGGAGCACTTCACTGGGTTCTGAGTGAGTGGGATTATTAGCCATCAACAATTTTGTAGTTTCCTTTTCTTGAAATTGTGTTTAAGACATAATCGAATGCTAAGAAACCCTTGTGGGAAAGGGGCTGTTCCTTGTTGGTCTAACTTACTTAGATAAAACACTCTGAAAACGTTCAGCCCAGACTGAAAAGAACATCCCAATGGTATGAATGTCCCAGTGACCAGAGTAGAACAGAAGATTCATTACCTGTTTTTTTTCTTGAGTTGATACCTTTATTAATATGACTCAAGTCATACTAATATTAGCTTTTCGCTAAACTGCCAGCAGGGACATGCGTACTTTCTCACACTTGCTGACTCTCATTAATCTGCGTCTCTCCTGTAATCATTCAAGCCTTAGGCTTTCTGGCCCAGGTGCCTGCTCTAGAAATCCCCCTGTCGCAAGGCCAAGGCAACACTCACGCCAAGGTTTTGTGGTAGTCGATGGTGTTGGTCACCCCAAGGAACTTCTGCACTGTGTCCATCACTTTGGCAGGTTCCGTTCGCAGCAATTTGCCATCCAGGACCAGAATCTGGAAAAGAAGAAAAGGGAGAAGGATGATCAGAACTGTGTTCACTCCAGTGGCAAACAGGCCCCAAGTCTTCTGGGTCGGCAGCCACGGTTACAAATCGGGGACCCCGCACTCTGTGGACTGTGCTTCCTCCTCCAGCTTTGAACGGCAGGTGTCCCCAAGCCTCAGTTCTCTGCAGTCTACCTCCTTGCTCTCTGCCAGCTTCCCCTAACGGAGGTCATCCTCTCCTAGACTGTGAGCATCACCAAACCCTGCCTGTCCCTCACATGCCCACGGCCTCTCCAAGCCTCCACACGTCACTGTCCTGCCGAAGTCCTCCAAGAGCTTCCCTAAAACGCCTCGTGCCATCTGGCCCTGCCTACCTCTCCTTCCATCACCACAGCCCCACACCCCCCTCCCAGGGGCCCAGCCCAGGGCTTTCTGGGTTCCCTTAGGGACATAAAGCCTGTTGTGATGGGACAAGGGCTTGGGGAATTCTTACACATCAACCTTGGGATAAATAAGACTAAAACCTTTGAAGACCTCAAAGGTCTAACTCGCCAGTGACGGCGTTTCTGGCCCCATGACTGGTGAAAGAGATTTTGAGGTTCTCTGCTAACCGCCACAAGCCAGCACTGTGATCGCCCTCCCAGGGGTCAGGCACAGGCAGCTACCTGGTTGGCATGAAAGGCGCTGAGCCAGCGCTCGATGTGGGTGGCGTACCAGCCGGGGACCAGGCAGCGGTTCTGGAGGGCGCGCAGCTTCAAGGACGCGTCGGGCCCAGCCGTGATCACCTCGTGGAAGGTGTACTTCAGTGCCACCGGGTCGTCGTGGGCTCGCTGGTGCTGCAGGCAAGGGGAGAGGGTCAGCATGACACGTGGAGGGCACAAGGGAAGAGGCTTTTGTGGGACAGCAGCCATGAGATGGCCAGAAGATCCTTGGCTGGAACCAGGTGCCGTGGGTTCGAGTCCTGACTCTGCCTCTCATTGCTCTTTGACCTCGGGGAAGTCACCGGCCTCTCTGCGCCCTAGTTTCCCCATCTTAGCAAGATGGGAGTTGGACTAGAGTTTCCAAATGTTGGTCATTGGCACGCATCACTGCGGTCTCTGCCATATCCACAAACCAACTGTACGTGCCAGTGTCAACATACTTTTCTTTACATTGACTCATTTTTCTTATTCACACAAATTTATTTCAAAATACAACTCACTATCACCTCCATAAATGGAAAACTAAAATCAGTTGTCATATATAGAAGGTAATCATTCATAAACACAATAAAAATAAAGCAATGTTCTCAAACGCCAGCCACATACAAATGTCTGCCACAGGCCCTGAAGCCAAAGTTTGCACTCCCTTTGTCAAAAAAAGAGCTTAGCAGTGTCAGAAAAGACTTCAGAGCTATTTGCAGAAATTAAGAATTTCTCCTTTATAGAAAGGAGATGGCGTGATAAATTGAATGCTTGTGTCCCCTCCCCAAATTTCACATGTTGAAGCCCTCACCCCCAGTGTGGTGCGTTTGGGATGGAGCCGTTGAGAGGTAAGTGGGTTTGGACGAGGTCACAAAGATGCGGAGCTCGTGATGGGATTAGCACCCTAGTAGAAGAGACAGCGGAGAGCTCACTTGCCCTCTCTCTGCCTGTGGGGATGCAGTGACAAGGCGGCTGTCTGAAAGCCAGGAAGAGAGCTCTCACCAGGGACCGAATCAGCCAGCACCGTGATCTTTGACCTCTGGTCTCCAGAACAGTGAGAAACAAATTTCTGTTATTTAAGCCACCCGATCTATGATATTTTATTATGGCAGCCTGAGTCGACTAAGACAGAAGGATCGGAAAAGAACTGGAAAGGGGAAAATGTCAGGTTTGAACCAGCTAAGATAATACCATGGGTTATCGGCATCTGCAGAGTTCCCAAAGTCCCGAGATCAGGAACCTGCCCACCAGGGGCCCCCTCACTCCCACTGAGTAGTACACACAGCTCGGGGTGAGGAGGGAGCTGGGGGGGAGGTCTGTGGGACCAGAGAGCTAAGAGGCTCTTTACCCAACCCCCTGCCAGCACCGTGGACACAGTGAAGCCCCAAAAAGGAGACAGCCATCTGAAGCACCCCGGTGAACAGGCTCAGGATGGCAGGAAGCTGCTGAAAGTGGCTAGGCCTGAGGAGGCCTTCCTGGACTGGCTGGTAGACCAAGTACCCCCCACCACCCTGGCACTGTAGCATAATCCCAGGAAGATTGGCAGGCAGGGAAGTAAACCCCCAAAAGGTCCGAGCCTAAGCTTTCCCATAAGCTTGGTGGAATGGTGCTCAGAAGAAATTAAGTCAGGTCATTAAAATTAAAGAAAGTTCTAGTTCTTACATAGCCAAGCAGGGACTAGGAGTCATACCCTCTCTAGCACAGACCACTGTCCAGGTGACTTCCTTCCTGATTGGGCATTTGCATCCTCCACTAAGAATGGCAGGTCCTGTGTCTCATCCTTCTCTGAATTCCCACCCACCCTGTGCCCAGTGAGGAAGCCACAGTCAGCATGAGCCCAGAGCATTGTTCACCAAATCTAGGCTTTGTCAAGGTGGAACCACTAGTGTCAGAATCAGAGGCAGGATCCCAAACAAAGCTAGGAGGGTGGGCAGGTAACTCCTGGCTGGGAGTCAACACCAACTTCTGCCTGTCTCCTCCCCTAGGCTAGACGCACTGTGGAGGCAAGACTCTGTTCTTACCCACCACCACAGTGCAGGAGGCTAGCTTAAGGCTGGCACAGTAAACATCTGTTGAAGGAACAAGTGAGTAGCTGAGTGGCAGCAGAGCCCCGCGCCCGCACCCAGGGCCCCGCCCCAGCCCTGGCTCACCTGGTACCAGGAATAGGCCCGGTCTGCTGGGTTGATGAGGATGGTCAGGACCTTGGCCTTGGGCAACAGGGCGGCTGCCCGGCGGGGGGCCACTTCTGAATCAAAGTAGTTGGCGCTTTTCTCAAAGTAGAAGTCGGAGGTGGTGTTGGAGGGGATAGGGAAGAACTCCATGTACCTGCAGAAAGCCCAGAGAGGGGCTGGCTCACAGGCCGGACTCATGAGGAAGGGCTTGAGGAACGCAGCACAAGAGGGTGACAGTCACTGGGGGAGAACTTCCGAAAGCAAGCAGGGCACACGGCTCCCTGGCAGGGATTCTAGACAGAAGGGGCACTTGGCAGTCGCCCTTTTCTGAATTCACGCCTTTTCAGGGGAGACCTTAGGGTCAGGAGGATCTGAAGACTTATGGGTATGACAGGGGTTGCCGTGCACAGGAAGGAGGTTGTGTCTTTCCATCCTAACAGGATGCTCCCAGAGTTAAACTGACCGGGCCCGAACTCTCCCTGCCTCTCGGGGGCGAGCTGGGACTCCGAGCAGCTCTACCTCTGACCCCAGGAAGGGAGGGCTGTCCTCTGTGCCTCCAGAGTGCAGGGTTTCCTTCCTGACCTGGGATGGCACTTGCTAGGCACCCCGTGGACCAGGAGACAAAGGAGGGGAGACATCGCCTCCTGCCACCCATAGCCACTCCCCAGCCTCATACGGGTGGGCCTGGCAGCTCTCCAGATGAACCTCTCTCATCTCGCCCAGAGCAACCGTCTACACCAGTCCTTTGGGACCATCCATAGGTAGAGGGCCCCTCAGGAAACTAACGAACACTCCAGACCCTCCCAGGGACACCTACTCACGCAAAACAGAGATACAACTTGAGGGGTTCGTGGGAACCAAAGCCCACAAGGCCCAGCCTAGTGAAAGGGGTAAGACTCCGAGTCTCCCATGAGATGGGGTTTCTCCAGGGTGGTCCCAGGGATCCCATTTATCAGAATAACCTGGAGCCTTGTGAGATTCCTGCATTCCCCCATACACCTACCTACAGAATCAAAATCTTGCTAATGGGGCTGAGGAATTGCTAACTTTATAAAATAATATTTGTATGTCCATAATCCACTGTTCGTAAAACCTAAATCAAGAAAGTCCCGAAAACAGCTTTTTTCCATAAATTTGCATCAAAGCCATTTAGCAGCAAAACCTGATTTATTAATCTTATTTAGTGTAAATATTCACATGCTTTGCTATAGACATTAACGTATTTGCTAATGGAGTGCCACCCCAGGCCCTGCTGAAAGTGTTGCCAAATATCTGGTGTTGGACCGTATTACCTGTCTAAAATCTGCAAAATGCTGACTCCCAATAATACATCTGGCTACTGTGAGTTTTACAAGAGATTATGGCATATTAGAAATACAGACAGATAGATAGGCAGCTGGAGTAGACAGACAGAGAGATGACAGACAGACGAGAGAGAGAGAGAGATACACACAGGAAAACACCAAAAAACAAACCGAAGAACGCCCATAATTCTCCACCCAGGTAAACCACAGACATGGAAATAATAAACAAGAATAATACCTGTATAAGGTTAGAAAAGATGAACAGTAGAGAAAGATGCAAACTGAAAAATCATAGAGTAAAACCACGCTTATGCAGCCCCCACTCCCTGAGGTAACCTCTAGTGACAGGTTCTAGTGGGAACCTGCAATTTCAACCACGTCCCCAGACCACTCTCTGAAGGCAGCGAGCCACTTCTGCAGGGCTCACAAGAACACCTCCTGCTCGCAGTCAGCCAGACACAGAGGGAAGGGCCAGCTCTCAGGTCAGAACCCTTGGATATTGGCCCTGCTCGGGCCCCAGCTCTTGGGACCTCAGGCGAGTCCCTCTTCTCCTCTGGGACTCTGGATGTTTCTGTGCAAGCAAGAGAGGGGCCAGCTCTGACCTCAGCAGTCTCTGACCCCAGGCGATAAGGCAAAGGGGCAAAGGTGTCCCTCATCAAGTGTCCCATCTGTCACAAGGTTCCAAATCACGGCTCAAGGGTTACTGCGTTTTGTCCCTGTTTACAGGAACTTGAGCTGTGTGTGAGCAAGCACCAGCTGCTTCCCGCTGTGGCCACAGAAGCCCTCCTCCCAGGCAGGCTCCACGATGGCCTTCCCGTCCCACTGCGGACAGAAGGGCCCACTCACCAGTCGATGCCTTTGTGATAGTTGTGGCCGTTAAAAAACTGGATCTCCTCAAAGGTCTCTGAGCTGGGGTAGTTGCTGCTGAGGTCCGGGTGCATGCCCAGGAACAGGTAGAGGGCTGTGGTGCCTGGTAGGAATGGAAGGCAGCTGACACCAAGGCCTAGCCCCCAACACAAAGATGGAGTCTGAAATTGTGGGTTCTGGTCCTACCTCTCCATTACTTAGTGGGAGATCTTGGGAAAGTTCCTTCCCTTCTCTGGGTTTAGTTTCCTTATGTCTACCATGAAGGATTACACTAAACCCAGGATGGCAAACACACAGCATACATGTGGGCACCCCAACTCCTGCATCCACTGTAGAGAGCACTAATTCACCCCAGCACTCTCAATCACTAAACAAGGACTTGGCCGCAGAACACTTGTCACCGCTGTACTCCAGCAGCCACATCCAATTGATTACTGTCTCCTCATAATCCCAGAACTGGATGGTTTCTGCCGGTCCCTTCTAGCTCTGGGCCCCTGTCCTCTCTTGTACTTGGGAGGAACTGAGAGAAAAGGGAGCTCCAGACCCTCCAGTCTGTTGATGTGAAATTCTTGAAGGGCTAAGATGTGGCTCAGATGTCTCCTCTTCTGGGCGCCCTCTGTCACTCATACCCCTCCCCTATTTGACAGCCTGGGACCTACCCCCTCCCTTAGAGAGTTCATTCCTTTCCTGTGTGTGAGTCTATGCTTTACACGCCTCAATGAGAAGTCCCAGAAAAGGAGGAGACTGCAGAGTTTGGTGATTAAGAATAATCTTGGGGTCACAGAGACCAGGGTTCAAACGCTGGATCTGCCATTTCCTTACTGAACGTGTTAGGGGAAGTCCCTTAACTTCTCTGAGCCGCAAGTTTTTTGTCTATAAAATGGGAGTATCCATTCGTGCCTTACAGACTGTGTGCATGGCAATACTCAGCAACTGTGTCACCACTCCTCCCTCTGGCACCGCTGGCAGACGAGACTAATTGATCGCAGTCCTCTTTGTACTGAACCAGTTTTGCTTGTCACTGCTCAAACTTGCAGAGCAGCAGAGCAAGGCTTCTATGCCTAGACTCAGAGACTCCCAGGAGAACACAGGGCGAGCTCCCCGAGGCTGAAGTTCACGACAGAGAGGAGAATCCCATGCTCACCCTCCATCTCGTTCCCACCTCCACACTGACAGGCAATTCATGATCACCCCAACTTCGCTCCCACTTCCTGGGAAAGAGGAGTCAGATTACTGGGGAGTAGGACCAGGACAAGATGGTCCCCAGAACTCTGTGGCTGAGCCAGCAGGCAGTGAGGGGCTGGTCAAGAGTGGAGAGACCTGCCTGTTTTCTGGGGGCCAATGATGAGGAGCTTTGGGAAGCGGTCACATGTCTTCTCCTTGGACCAGATGTCTTTGTGGCGTTTGTCCTCACAGGGGTCCTAAAACAACAACAGAAGGGACGTTAGGGGGCCCCAGAACCCAGTGAATGGACTTGGACTCCCACTGCACATGGATCTGTGGCTCTTACAGCCACAGACAAGCTAATTGACAAGGATAACTAAGTGTGTCCCTGTCATATCCCCACCTTGGGACACTGAGCTGCTGGAGGCAGGGACCACGTCTGGTCAGTCTCATACCTCGTGCTTGGCACTTAACAGGAGCTCCATGAGCACTTATTGAATTGCGCTGGATGAGCTGTGTCTGAACCAGGGGTCAGCAAACTTCTTGTATAAAGTTTAGTAAATCTTTTGAAATGTTTAGTAAATATTTTAGGCTTTGGATACTGTCCAGTCTCTGCTGCAACTACTCAACTCTGCTGTTGTAGCTTGAAAGCAGCCACAGACGGTACGTAGAAGAATGAGCATGGCTGTGTTCCAATAAAACTTTATTTACAAAAACAGATTGCAGGCCAGATTTGGCCCACGAGCCAAGGTCTGTGGACTCCTAGTCTGAACTATGAGCCTGCCACAAAGCCCAGCTTCTGCATCTAGTTTTTGACAACCCCCTGGGGCAGACTTCCCCAAGAACTGCCCCCCTAACGCCCTCCCATTGGTCCCCTTTCCCATGGCTCAGAGCCTGCTGGGGTGGGAAAGGGCAGCAGAGACTACTAAGAGTCTGATCAGGCCGGGCAGTCACTTTCTACACTTCATCCACACCATGTTCACTTACAGTTTTGTAATGTGCTTTTCAGAGGCTGTGTGTGAGTGTGCATACATGTAGGTCTGTGTGGGAGGTATGTACACATATGTACACATGTACAGATGAATGCACGAGAACAAGTGAGTCTGCCCACGCTGGAGAGCAAGTGTGCGCCCAAGTGTCTACTTGCGGGACTGTGCAGGTATGAGAGCTGAGCCCTTGAGCCCATGCCTGGAGCAGATGCCTGTGAGTGGTGGGCATGCCATCCCTGCAACAAGGTGCCCAGGCCCCCACCCCCACCCACCTGCCAGAGCGGGTCCTTCTCCTCAGAGAAGATCTGGAAGTACTTCTGGGCCAACTGCACAGGGGGCAGCGTCTGCAGCCGGAGGTTGGTCCAGGAGTGCAGGAAGCGCACCAGGTGCTTGAAGGTGTACAGGCCCAGGCGGTCGTTCCCATAGTTGGACAGGTGCGTCATGAAGATGCTGATCTGCTCCGGGGGAGGGGAGGGGGGAGGCAGGGGCTGGTCAGCATCTGAGCTGCCTTCACCCCTGCTGCTGACTCTCTGGACTTGCTCCAGCTTGCAGGGCCACTCGATGACTAGTCCAAGGTTCACTGGGGCCGTCAAGAAACTCCTGTGTGACCTTGGGCTAGGCAGAGCCAGGTGAACCTCAGTCTGACTGACCATCAACCAGTACAACCCTGAAATGGGGCGCTGACCCACTGCGCAGCTAATTGGAGCATTCTTTTGTATTTTTTTGTTAAGGGGCACATGAAGAAAAGGAGTACTTGGTTACCCCATAAAGCTGAATAACGCCACCACTTGATATCTATTTAATATTATTAGAGCATGGATGATTATGTCCATTTTACAGAGAAGGAAAGAGAGACCCAAAGAGCTCAGGTGAATAGTTTAATATACATACAGTTTGATAAATTAGCAGCTTACTATGTATATTACTGTATAACATTTATATATTTATACACACACAAAGACTAGAAGAGAACATGGACAAAACCGCAAATGCTATTGTACTGAAGTGCAAGATTATGAAAGGGAAAAAAACCCAGCCTCCCTACCCAAGGTCACGCAGCAGAGCAGGCACAGAGCCAGGGCTGGAGACTGGGGTGTCCAACTCCCAGCCCCCACGCCTGCTCCTGGCCCCCTCCCCAGCTCAGCGAGGCCTGCCTTGACTGCACACGGACTGTCCAGCCGCCCTCCTCCCCACCAGCCAAGGGCTGTGGAGCACTCACAGGATTGAGGAGCACAGTGAGGAAGAGCTCGCCCCCATTGATGATCTTGTCCAGCTCGCTGGAGCCACCAGGGTACTCATTGTAGAATATGGTGTGTGTGAAGAGGCCGCAGGTCTGCCGCGGGAGGACCTGGGGACCGGGCAGGAGAGGGGAACTATGGCATCCAGAATGGATGGTGGTGGAAGGGCCCTTCCTCAGAAGAATGGCCAGTGTGTCTCCTCAGAAAGGCAGCCTCCTGTGTGACCACATGGGCCCCACCTTTGGGGGTCTTCTTCCCCCAAGACCTTCTGCAGCCTGCGCCGTCCCCCTAAGGGAGCCCACAGGCTCTTATTTTTATATACTTCACTGCTATTCTCTGTACGAGATGAGTAGACCTAAAAGTAACAGACAGCCCAGTGAGAATGTTTCTGGAAACTTGGATTGTTTGCCCAGCGAGGGTCCCTGAGCTCTCTAAAGCAGCTCTCCCACTCACGCTCTGCAGCTCCCCTCGCAGCACTAGGACCCGGCCTGTTAGCACTCCTGGTCACACACTGGTTTAACTGTTTATTATCCGTCTCCCCTCATGAAACTGTGGGCTCCAAGACAGCAGGCACTTGCCTGTCTCGTCACTACCTCATCCGCAGAGTTAACATGAATGCTTGGTATCAAGGAGTTCAGTGGATGGACAGATAGATAGATGGATAGATGGATGGATGGATGGATGGATGGATGGACAGAAGGACAGACAAATGCATGAATTTGGCCTTCCCACAGCTGCCCCATCTAGACTGATGACAACTCATCCTTCCAGTGGCTCAGGCCAAAAACCTTTGAGTCATCCTTGACTCATCTCTCTCTCCCACACCCTACATCCAGCTCGTCAGCAGGTGCTGCTGGCTCTAACCTCTAAATAAGTTCAGAATCTGATCACGTCCCAACGTTGCACCCTGGTCCAAGCCACTACCATCTCTTGTCTGGAAGACAGCAGTGGCCTCCTAACTGGTGTCCCTGCTTCCCACTTTGTCCCCTACAGTCTCTGCTCCACAGAGCAGCCAGAATCATGGAAATCCTTTTAAAATATGAGTCAGATCACAATAGCACTCCATTCAAAACCTTTCCATGTCAAACAAAACGCTCAAGTCCATCCAATGGCCTTATGTGGCCCTACATGACCTGGCCCATTAGCCCCTTGACCTTATCTCCCACCACCTCCCCTTCACTCACTCCCCTTCATCCGTACTAGCCTCCGAGATGATCCTCCAACACTTCCAGCACAAGCCGGCCTAGGGCCTTTGTACTTGTTTTCTCTGCCTTGAATGCTCTTCCAGCAGCATAGCTCACTCCCGGAGGCCCTCCCTAACTACCTTATTTAAGATGGCTTCTCCTTTCCCCTGGCACTCCCTGCCTCCCTTCTGCCTGAGTTTTCTCCACAGCTCTTATCACCATCTGACCATTATACACTTTACACACTTATGGGGGGGGGCTTTTGTTGGTTTTGTGCACTTTTGTATCCCCAGTGCCTAGAAAACAGACAGATACACAGTAGAAACTCATGAATAATGTTTCCACGAGCACACAAATGAATGACACAGAAGCCTGTCCCAAGTCCTCACCAGAGGCCCCTTTAAAGAACGTCCCTCCTCTGATTCGTCACAGCAGCAGCCCACGTTCCCCGAGACAGAGAGCCTCAGACGCCACAGCGGGCAGCAGGATTGCCCTGAAACCCCTCACAGCTCACCAAAGTCCTATGTCCCAGGCCACACGTGCACCCCACCTCCCAGCTCCCAGGGCCCACCTACCATGATGCCATTGTGGATGAAGCCACGGCGGTAGCGGGCTGGCTTCAGGTGGGGGTATTCCTCTGTGCTGGTCACGCGGATGCTCCACACCTGCTTCCAGGCCTCGTAGAGCTGCACATGCACGGGGTACACGCCCGAGTGGTGGGGTGCCACCGCATACCCCATGTCTGTGGGAATGCCGTGCTCCTGGGGAGAGGAGGGCCAGGGCAGGGTGAGCATGGGGCTCCTTCCCCCCTGGGCCTTCCTTCCCCTCTGTAGAACAGGAGAGAGAAATCAGAGGCCAGAACAGCAGGGCAGTTGGTCCAAGCCCTCTGGTACAGATGGGGAAGTTGAGGCCCAGGGAGGGAAAGGGATGTGCCCCAGATCCCGGAGTGAGGGACTGGCCAAGCTGGGACTTGACCCTTCGGCCCAGTGTCGTGCCCTCCAGCACCCAGCAGCGGGGAACAAGGACGGGGCTCTTCCTGCCTCTCTGGGCCTCTAACTGGCTGTGGACAAAGGCTGAGCCAGCACCGGAGCCTCATTCCCTCCTCACTGAGTGCCTCCTCCAGCTTTCCAGAGCCTCCCACTCTAGCCTGAAACAAGAGCTTGGGCTCAGGAAACAGTCAGGCCTGGGTTTACATCTGGCTGGACTTCTTTTTAGCTGTTGCAACCTCCCTGACCTTTGGTTTCTTGTCTAAAAGTGAGGCCACCGATACCTGCCTCTTGGGGTCTCAGCGAGGCTTCAGGGAGACAGTGGCTGTGAAGATGTTCATAAAAAGCTGTCAGACCCAACTGTGAAAGCAGCGAGAGGCCAGCACTCCGGACCCCCAGTCCAGCCCCTAGCGCACCCAGCTCTGCCCTGTAGGGAATCTTACTCACGACAGCGAACTTCTTGTTCAGGGCCATCTGCTCTGCCAGCACGGACTGGTTGTGGAAAAGGTGGGGCTGCATGTGGCTCCACATGTGGGGGAACCACCAGAATTCCTTCACGTACGACAGCAGCAGGTCATCCCCAGCGTCCTCGGCATCAGTACCTGCAGCCCCAGCACAGGCAACTCAGCCTGGCCCATCCGCCATGAGGCACTCCAACCTGGGCCAGTGCCTAGGGATGGGGGCGCCTGGGCATGGCCCACCCAAGAACTACTTGCAACAGATATCTGAGCTACAGCCCAGGAGCAGACAGAGCCCCAGTCCAGGGCCCTGGATCCCAGTCTAGAGTGTGGCTTTGGCTCAGTGGGTGACTTTGTCCGACTCTTTCTCTCTGGGCCCTCAGGCCCCCTCTGTGCAATGCAGGGTTCAGGAGCAGAGATCCCAAGGCTTTCTTCCAGCTCTGACATGCCTGCTCTGATCCTATTCCTATTGTTCTATTGGGTCATTAGTCTTTTACTTATTGATCTGTGCAAGCTCTTTGTATATATACAGAATGTTTAATCCCCTGTCTCATGTATATTACTACAACTACCTCTGACATGCTAAAGGTTGAGAATAAAGAAATGCAGAGACAACCCAGTATTGCTCTGACTTGGCATATGGGGCTATGTTGCATGCTTTCCCTCCAGAATTGCAGACTAACAGGGTTTTGTCTAGAATTCAAGAGAGGCTGTCCTCACTGTGGCCCGAGCAGAAGGCAGCTAGATGGACTGCTCACGGCAGGTCACCGCTCAGGGGCTGTTGCTGCCTCTTGCCCAGTCCCGAGGAGAGCATGTGAGGGACTTGGGAGAGCCCAAGACAGGAGGGAAGCCCGACCCAGGCAACTCACAGCCCTCAACCTCAACCCTTACACCTTGAAAATCACCTCATTACATGGTCACCTCCAGGGTGGGGTACAGCTACAGGGCATTTTCACTTTCTATGCTAGATATTTCTGTAACGGTCTTAAAATCCAACTAATTACTTTTTAAAGCAAAAACAGTACAAATAATTTTAAAAGGTGGGGGTGAGAGGGAGACAAGGGGAGAAGCAACTCCCCAGGACAGCACATCCCGTGACCAGGGAGGGATGAATGGGAGCTGTCGTGGTGGTGTTGCTCTCACCACACGCCTTCTCCCTGGGGCTGTGGCTGCTCTGTGGGCTGCTGGCTCAGGGGAGGCCACGTGGCCAGATCTGCCCTGATGTGGGCCTGTCAGCCTGCCTGCTGTCCCTGTGGCACACGCTTCGAGGGTCTGGCAGTTGAAGGCCCCTGAAGTTGCTGGTGGGGGCAGAGCCAGGCCCACTTACCTGTGTGGAAGAATTTCCCTGAGTAGCCCAGGTTGAAGGTGAAGTTTGGGATGTGCGTGCGTAGCTCATTCTGCGTATCAAACAGGGCCTAGGATGGGCAGAGGAGGAGGAAAAGGGTGACGGGGAGCCAGAGCTCCCTGCTTCTCCCACTGAGGGCCCAGGAACATCCTGCTGCTTTGTGAGAGTTTGTGGGGCCCAGCAAAAAAAGAAAATGTGGGACCCTTGCTCAAAAATTATTAACAATGTTAAGAAGGCAAGAGTGGAGCATTGAACCTTATACAGTCCCCTTCTGAGTGTGGGGCCCTGTGTGACGGCAAAGGTCCCAGACACATGAAGCCAGCCCTGTGCTACCACTTCCACCAGGCCTCTAACAAGAGAAGACCTCGCTCTGCCATGTGGCCTTGGGAAATCTCTGTAACTTCTCTAGGCCTCAGTTCCCTGAGTGTGAAAGGAGGATAATAACATCTCCCTCACGGAGCTCTTGGGAGGATTAAATGAGATATGGCATGCATGTAAATTGGCCCGACATTTTGGTAAATGATGAAAAACGGTGGTGTTACTATGTCTGTAGTCATGCCACTGTGAGCCTCATGTCGTCATCTGGCAAATGTGGAGGACTCTCTTTGCTGGTGAATGCAAGGCTGATGTCAAGGGACCATGACTCTTCCAAAGATGTACTGTGTACCCAGCAATGCAATGTTCCCACACATGGCACACCCAGCGCTTTGCAAGTCAATGAAGGGATGCCGACACTTGGGAAACAAACGTACAGCTGTACTCTGGAGTCAAGACTCAAAAAAACCCCTACCCTGCATAAGCCTGCTATCAGAAGATTTTGCAAATTGAAAGTCCTGGCCCACCTGGGCCACCACTGGTATCTGATGAAGGTCATGCGAGGCTTCAGGGAGACAGTGGCTGTGAAGATGTTCATAAAAAGCTGTCAGACCCAACTGTGAAAGCAGCGAGAGGCCAGCAGTCCGGACATGCAAGCTCTAGCTGTGTGGCCGTGGGCAAGTCACTTCACCTCTCTGAGCCTCAGTGTCCTCCTCTGTAAAATGAGACTTACAACAATACCCGCCTCACAGGGCTGCTGTGAGGATCAGATAACGCCACACACAAAAAGGGCTGAGCACAGAGCCTGGCACTAGCCAAGCCCTGAAAAAGCAGCTGCCATCGGTACTGTTTAAACTGCACTGTACTGCCAGTACTGCACCAGTTAAGGGGGCCGCATCCATGTCGCTGAAAGAAAGGCTCAGCTGTAGCCTGTGGTTGGGATTAAAGAAAAAAACAAACTCTGCCCTTTCTCACTCACGAGATGTTGAAGGTAAATGGGACCCCGGCGGGTGAGGCACCCTGCAGCCTGCACTGCGCTCAGCGCTCAGCAGAGGGCGTCTGTTAGCATTCTTCCATGGAAATGGCTCCAAACTGCCATCACCCCTCTCACTCAAAAACGGGGCAAGTCAGAACCAAGAAGGGCAACCCCTCGGTTCACAGGGGACACAGCAAACTCGGCAGGCTGATTTCCTCACGGGGTCAACCCTGGACAGGCAGCAAAGACCCAGGTCACAGCAGGAGAGAGCAGGGTTGGGCCACTAGAAGAACACTCTAGAAAGAGCAATCCATGGTCATGCGCCACTTAACAACAGAGATATTCTGAGAAATGCGTCCTTAGGTGGTCTCGTCGTTGTGCGAACATCACAGAGTGCACTTCCTCACAGCGAGATGGCACAGCCTACTACACACCTAGGCTCTATGGTACTCATCTTACGAGACCACGTCTTATATGCGGTCCATCGTTGACTGAAATGTCTCTATGCGGCACGTGACTGTGCTTTGCTAGAGGTGGGTTGTGGCATTACATGAAGGCTTAGAGCTGGACAGCTCAACAAGAACCATCTTCAAACTTTGTTTCAACAGGAGAGCCCTTGAGGCACTGAAATCCCAGGAGGAAGCACAATGCGTAAGAGTAGTAAAGCAACACTGCTCTGTCCCACAGGGAGGTGAGGAGGCAGGCCTGGGAGCTCAGAGCCTGGCCCCTGGGCACATATCCCCACCCCAGCTATCCAGGCCCCTCTGTGAGACCCCCTGGGGTGCCAGGAAACAGCCTGAAAGCCTCCAGTCCACCCCGTCTTGTCATTTCATTACTGAGGCTCAGACATGGGAAGGGACGTGCCCAAGTCACCCAGTCAGTCAGGGTCAAACCGGTACTTGAACCCAGATCTCAACTCCCCAGACTGCTCCCCGACACCATCCGCTCCGCTCCTCTCCTGTTCTCCAGAGGTGTGAGGCAGAGTAGACAGGAGGACGAGCCCCCCAAGGGCCTTCCTTCTAAGCCCGGGGCCAATTCTGACCACAACTTCAGGGGACAGAGCACAACCCCCAGCCTGGCTCACCCAGGGACAAGGCTCTCCTCTCACAGTCTCTTCCTCAAGCCTCCTCCTCACATCAAAAAGAAGGCGTGGTTTAGTGCTAATATGTCTCTAGTGCTCGCTAATCTCGTTCGTGTAAGAGAGGACGGGCGGTCAGCAGGCGGCACTATCGCTAGAATTTAATCCCCAGTTTGTTGTCTTTGGCTCTATTGCTATGGCTGCCCTCTATTTATGGCAACCAACTCTGATGTCCCCATTGACATTAGTGATGTCGTTTCCTTTCCAAATACCTTTGAGTAAAACAGTGAGCAGATAAGAACTGTATATTAAAGATTCCTTAATGGTCTTAACTTGCAGGTTTCTCTTTAGTAGCGATACATGTGTGTAGAATTTCCTGGTTTGCAAAATGCTTTTACATACAGTTCAGCTGGGTAATCACTTTTGAATTAAACACATGCATTCCACTATCTATACAGACCTCAGTTAAAATATGCCTTGTGTATGATTCAAGCTCTAATTCTTGTTTTAAGAGTTTTGTGGAAGCTCTGGTAGTGACATAAACATTTTTGAGAGTTAAAAATGATGTCTGGGTTAGAAGGCAGATCCACAACCCTGCACAGCTCCCATCTCTGCGTTTTGGTGACTGGGTCTCTTCCTCTACAGACACATCCTTGAGCTCCACACTCCAGAGGCAAGCTTCGTCTATACAGTGGCCCTCCTTATCCGCAGGGTCTGCATCCACGGATTCAACCAACCGAGGACTAAAAGCCCTATCTATGATGGCTGCATCTGTGCTGAATACCCACAGACTTTTGCTTACTATTCCCTAAACAATACAGTATAACAACTATCTACAAAGCACTTACATTGTATTAAGTATTATGAGTAATCTAGAGATGATTTAAAGTACATGGGAGGATGTGCATAGATTATATGCAAACATGCGGATTTTGGTATCCATGAGGGGGAGGTGTCCCGGAACCCACGTCCTGCAGATATGGAGGGATGACTGTGCTTCAAGATGATTTTAAATGACATCTGCTTTAAGACAATTAACAAAACCAACCGGCTGGGAGAAGCGGACTAACAGCTCAGAGGAGACACAGACAGCAAACTCCGGATAGGGTGCACCCAGGTCTGAAGAAGGTGAGGCCGCCCTACCCGGTCTGGCCCCCACCCCGGCCATACCTTCACGTCCTCCACCTTCATGCGCGTGCCCTCCTTGCCCACAAAGATGTCGTCGATGTCCACCAGGATGTAGCGGTCCAAAGGCAGCGAGAGGCGCTTGCCCGTGAGAAAGGCCACGGCATCGACAAAGACGAGCTTGTGCAGCCAGAAGTTGAGATTGTTGCCAAACAGCACGCGCTGGATGCCGTCGTGGAGGCCCAGGTCCTGGACCACGGTGGCGTGCAGCGCGGCGTGCAGGCCGGCGTCTGCCCCCAGGTGCGGGATGGACTCGGACGAGCGCGTCTTGGCCAGCAGCACCGGCTCGTAGGTGGAGTGGTTGGACTGGAACACGGTCCAGTCCTCGCCAGGCAGCACGCCCTTCTCCACCTCGCTGGGCCGCGTCACGTAGAGCAGCGGGGACTTGGGGTTGATGCTGCAGTCCTTCAGGCCCAGGTTTGAGTGCAGGAACAGGGGGAAGCCTTTGAGCTGCGCACTCAGCAGGCTGTTCTCGTTGGCCTGCAGCCGGGGTGGGGCGGGAAGGGGGAACAGAGCCGTCAGGTCCACAACCACAAGGGACCACGAATCTCAGGTCTGGACCCGTAACAGCAACGGCAACAATGTCTGCTAACATTCCCGGAGGGCTCACCACATCTCTGGCCTGGGCTAACCCAGCTCCACCCTCACAACAACACACAGGACACACTGACCAAAGCCAGGCAGCAGATCCGCGCACTCTGCAAGCAGGGATGCTGTTAACCCTTACAACGACCCAGTGATGGAGCGCTTGCTGCCCTCAGTTTACAGATTAGGAGCCTGAGGCCCAGAGGGGCTAGGTAAACTGCCCAAATCACACCGAGGAAAGTCTAGCAGTTGAGAGCAGGGACTCTGCCCCCAGACCGCCTGGCCCTTGAGCAAGTTAGGGAACCTCTCTGTGCCTCAGTTCCATCTGCTGTAGAAGGTGGCTAAGATTGGTAAACACCTCAAGGCGTGATAGAGGATGATGAGTGTCAATGCCAGCAAAGTGCTCAGAACAGGGTCAGTGGTATTACCAATTGCTCATTCAGTCCTCACATCGGCCTCAGGAGGCAGGTTCCTCTACTATCCCACTTCACAGGTGAGGAAACTGAGGCTCTGAGGGGAGTGCTGCCCTCAGGAACACAGAGGTCGGGAGGAGCCACAATTTGCAGCCAGGCAGTCTGGCCCTGGAGCCCACACACCTGACCACCAGGCTCTCATGCCTCAGGTTTCCAAACTGACTTCTGCTCCCCTACCCTGTCCACAGGAGAAATCTTAGGTGGAAGGCAATGTAGAAGAGATCAAAAAGGAGGATGCCGGGGGTGCAGGAACAAAGACACTCCACCCCACAGCATGCCCAGCGCCTCCTACGTCCCTAGCACCCCCTCTCAGGAGTTCAGCTTCCCTGGCCTCCCTTCTCCTCCCAGGCTCTGCTGTGGCCCAGCTCCCTGGGATCTGCAGACAGTACCCACAATCCCCCTTCTCCTCTTCCACAGGCTCACAGCTCCTTCATGCCATCCCTCACCCTCCAGCCACCTGCCTTTAGATATGTTGTAATTTGCCCTTGTCCTTGTGCCAATTCCACACCACCTTCTCAGTCTGGAAAACTCCTGCTCATCCTTCAAAACCCAATGCACATACTTTCTTCTCTGCACTGGCCTCCCTGGGACCACATTAAAGCCAGCTGCAACACTTTCTACCTTGGCTGCTGCATTTCTGTTCAGGGTCTCTCTCCTACCAGCCAGTACCCCCTCGAGGGCAGGAGCTATGCCATTTCCATCTTTGGATCCCCTGTGTTCAGCATTGGCTCGACAGCCCATGGGAGCAAACATATTTGATGAGTAACTGAATTTTTAAAAGAACAAAAGAGGAACAGACAGCTCTGCAGTACCTGGCACATGACAGCTGTTCAGTATATGTTTCACTGGTTCCTTCACAGCTATGCACTGTGCCAGGCACTGTGTTAAGTGCCAGGGACACAGTGAGAAAAAACAGACAGGGCCTCTGCCCTTATGAACCTTAAAGTTGAGCAGGGAAGAGAGACAGCAATCAAAACTGCAGAGACAAACATAAAACTTCAACGTGGCACATGCTACACGGAGAAGGTTCATAGTTCTAGAAGAGTAGATAACTGGGCATAGTCAGTTGGCTCAGGAAGGCTTCCTGGAGAAAGGGACTTTTGAACCAAGACTTAAAGAATGAATAAGCATCAACCAGGGGAAAGGAAGGGGCCAAGTTTCAAGAATAGCAAGTGCAAAGGCCCTGAGGTAGGACAGGGCTCAGCACAGTCAACTAATAGCAAGAAGCCAGCAGAGTGATCAGGAGGGAGAGGAGGAGATGAGGCAGAGAAAGGTCAGCTAGGGCCAGACCTGCAGGACCCTAGAGGCTGGAAGTGGCGGTGGGAAGCCATGAAAGACTCCATCAAAGGGTTCTGAACAGAGGGATGACAGGTTTCCATTTGCATTTTAAAAAGACCCATCTGGCTGCTGTGTGGAGAATGAGTGGGGTGGGGCAAAGCAAGAGTGGACAAAGGGCACCAAGTGATGGTGAAGAGGGAGGCAGGGCGGTGCACGGGGCCGCCCTGGAGAGCTGGCCAGGCGAGCGCTGTACAAGGACGCTCAGCTGAGGACTGGGCCTGGCCCGTGTGGAGCTGCATCTGCCTAGGAGGTGCTTTTCCCTAACTCCCACAAAGGTTCTTCAGGGCCCTAGCCTTAGAAACCATGATAAGGAGCATGCCTTCAATTCTCCACACACCATGAGCACCTGCCAACTCCTGGCCCTGTCCCGAGCCAGCCCTGGCTGCTGAGGCCCAAGGCAGAGCCCCATCCTGAGAGGCCACCTCCCCTAGCCTCAGGCTCCCCATGACCCCTAAGCCAGCGCTGATCAAGAATGAGAGCTGCTTGGGCCGCATGGGGGCAAAGGCAGCGGGTGCTGGCAACATTTCAGGCCCTGTCCATCACCTGCTGTGGCCTCAGAGGCCACAGTGGACCGCAGGCACTGGGGGATCCCATTTCAAAGCCCCAACCCTGAGCTGACTGCCAGGTACTGGCAGCTCGGCCAGCTGCCCAGCTGGGAGACGTCGAGGAAGGGAGAACGCCAAGTTGCTGATCGTCCACTCCAGTCAGCAATGAAAGGAGGCCAACAGGGAAGGGGACAGAGAGTAAGCCTCAGCATGGCAGAAACTGAGCCCCTGCTGCGGCCCTCACCCCATGGGAGGGGAACCCCTCCTGCTCCTCAGCCTGGAGGACCCACTCAGGATTCACCAAGTCTTCCAGCGGGGTCATCCAGGCAGAGGAAGGAAGCCCTGCTCCGGGAATTGGGAGGCCCAGTGGACTTAGAGAGTAACCAGCTAGATGACCTAGGGGGCCCCACGTCCCCTCTCCGGGCATCAGGTCCCCCGTCCGCTGGTCAGTTTGCTCTGACATGCTTACCTGTGGTTGGGTTGGAGGATATGAGTGTGCTTGTCAAATCTTGGCTCTGACTTATTCACTGTGTCACTCTAGACAGCCATGTAACTTTTTGAGCCTGACTTTCCTACCTGAAAACAAAGTGCCTACTTCACAGGGTAGTTGTGAGAACTACACATGGCAAGGCCCACTCAGGGGTCGGGTAGCCCTTGTCAGTCTTCTGCCCCTCAAGGGTGCCAGGAACCAGGGCTCCCACCCCCAAGGACCTCACAGGGGCACATACAGGTCAGAGCTACAGACAAAGTACTACCACCAGCTGTGTTTGCTGGGTGTAGAGATGACTAAGCATGATAGCTGCCATTTATCACATATTAGGTACTGTGTTAGCGCTTCCCACCCACTGCCTTGTTTTATCTTCAATGTGGTCCAGTGAGGTAGGAGCTACGATTGGCCCCACTTTACAGATGGGCTGACAATTCCACCCAACGTCACTCTGCTTCTAAGTGATGGAAGGATCTGGACCAGGGTCTGGACTTTCCAGTCCCTGCTCTCACACTGACCTGGGAAGCCAGTGCCAGCAGGAGACGGAAAATGAGTCTCCAGATCCCAGGAGTCCACAGCCCCGCTGGGTCTGGCAAGCCCAAAGCACAGCCCTGAAGCGAGCCTTGCAGAAAGAGCCGAAAGATGCCGCTAGACCACCAGAGGGCGCCCGTTTGAGCAGAACATCTCAGGCCTCTGCTCCAAACCAAGGCGGGGTCTTGTCTTATGCAACAGGTCAGGGAGAACACGAACACCTGGAACTGCCCCCACAGTGAGATCTGAGCATGTTTCTCTCTCGTGTTCACCTTCTGTAGAGCACGGAATTGCGGCCGGACAGGATCCAAGCTCTGTAGTACCAAGTGTGCCCATGACCCCGGAGACCGTGGGACTATGCGTTGGACGTGGCCTCTGATTCAAGTTCTACTAATAAACGGTATTTGCGGCTCCTGGACTCATTGCACAATGGTTAGGAGGAAGGCCTGTGGAGCCAGACTGCCTGGGTTCAAATCCTAGATCTGTAGTTACTCGAAGTGTGAGCGTGGGCACGTTTATTCACCCCTCTTTGCCTCGGTTGCCTTGTCTTAAATCAGCATGATCTCCACCTGCCCTGGAGGAGGGTTTATGTGTTCAATGGGTTAGTTCAGGGAAGGTATACAGGACACGAAAGGCACTGGATGGGCACTCAACAAATGTCAGGCACTCTGAGGTCTCACAGGCCTGCGGCCCTGACTCAGGCTGCATGAAGTTCACGGCAGGAAAGGGAACAGAGTCCAGGAGAAAAGAATAAACAGACAGTGAAGACAGTCTGACTTCACGCCACCGTAAAGCCATAAACCAGGCCAGTGTTTCCCAGAGCGTGCTCTGTGAAATCAAGGGTTTTGTGATTGAGCCAGTTGGGGAACAAATCTCACCAGGCTGCTCTGCTGCAGGACTTCTAAGGGCCTTCAATTTCTTGGCCCACAAAACCTCTTTCAATGGCAGCGCATCCTGCTGCATTAGTGCGTGAAACAACACGTTGTGGGAAACCCTCACCCAGACCAGGCTCCTCCCAGCACTGAGCACAGGGCCCAGTGCACAGGGGTGCCCACGAACGCTTGGGCACAAGTGGGCACCTGCTAGTAAGTGGACATGGGTCACTTCTGATCCACCTGCTGCTCCTCTCCCCACTCACACCAAGCAGGAACCTGCTTCGGGACCTGTGCATTTACTGTCCCCTCTGCCTAGAAGACCCTTTGCACAGAGAGCCATGCAGCTCCTTCCTTCCAGTCACTTCATTAAGGATGACTTCCCTGGCCAGTCTATCAAAAACAGCATCAACCACCCATACCCATCACCCCCTAGGCCCTCTCCCTACTTTATTTCTTTTTGTACTTAGCACCGCCTACCACATGGGTATGTTTATTTGTTCACTGTCTGTCACCCACGCTACCCCACTGCACTGAAATGTCAGCTCCGTGACAGCAGGAACCCTGCATACTTAGATCACCACTGTGTCCCCAGTGCCTAGCGCAGGCCCTGGAACAGTAAGTGCTCAGTAAATATTTGCTGAATGAAAGAACAAACACCCCCCTGCCCTGCACACCCAACTAGAGTCCCAATCAGCAGTGGCTTGCTTTCATCTTGCAGGTCAGAATTCTCTGGCCAGAGCCTCTGGATCCCCCATCCAGCCATCACCAACATCCCCCTCTCCAAGGTCAGCTTCTCCACAACCTTTCAGCGAGGACTCTCATCCCAGTAGTTGTTCTGGGTGCCCCACAGAGCCCAGAGGAGCTCACCTGCCCACTGGGATTTCTTTCTTCTTTCTCCCAATGCAAAATGGCTCTGTTCTGGAGGTACATGAATTCCACACCCCACCACAGCCAAGAGGAAAGAGCATAGGATCCAGAGCCCAAACTCTCTAAGTCTGGGTTCAAATCCTGGCTCTCCCACTTAGAGGCTGCATAGCCTCATATGCATAACTCAACCCTCCTGAGCCTTAGTTTGCCATCTGCAAAATGGGGATACACCCCATCACTTGCGATGACCGCATGACAGGTCCGCAGGGACCCAGCAGAGCATCTGCTCTCCTATCATGCACCCATCACCCATCCCCGGGACTTCCTTCAGGCAAGAGCCTACTGTGTGCCAGGTCTCATGCATGGCAGGCAATCCCGCTGATATGCGCTCCTAATAAGAGTTGATAGTTAAAAAGCACCTACTAGGCACCAGGCCCTGTATGCTCCAAGCACTTTACATACACTCACTCATATAACCTTCACGACAACCCTGGGAGGTGGGTACCACCATTACACCCATTTTACAGATGAGAACAGTCAGGCACTCAGCTAGCGAGTGTGGAGATGGAATTCAAGCTCAGCGGGAGCTCTTAATGGCTTGGGGACTCTGCTCCCTGCGTACCTTGAAGAAGCCAATGATGCCCACGCCATAGGCCACGCAGTACTTGTCCAGCAGCTCCCGGTTCCAGGCATCCAGGTTGACATACTTGAGGATGTTCTCGTAGATGATGAGGGCAAAGCGGCCACGGCCCTTGTCGGTGAGCGTGGGCATATCACCCTTGCCCGGTGCGATCTCTGTGCGGTACTTGAAGCGGCTGGACTCCAGGATGGCCACCACTTCCTGGCCCAGCTGTGAGTAGAGGCTCTCCACGAACACCAGCACCAAAGGGTCTGTGCGGGAGGGGGCGGCCGCCTGCACAGGTTTGAGCGGCAGCAGGCGGCTGGGGGCCACAGGCGGAGGGTCCCCACAGTCAGGCTCAGGGGCATCCGCCGAGGGCTCCAGGCCCCGCTTCCAGCCATATAGGTAGTAGGCCGAGACAAAAACGCTGAACAAGCAGAAGAGGAACAGCAGGAAAAGGACAGCCTGCGGGGACACGTGCCGACACAGCCTGCGGAGGCGCGCCAGGGTGAGCATCCTGGCCCCCGAGACCTCAGCCAATGGAGGCCCGGCCTGCCCTGGCCACCCCAAGGCCCCACGCAGCAGAAGACACCAGAGTTGTCCACTGACCAACAAATTCACAGAGACTTAGCAAGCGAGGCCCTCAGTAGGCCACAGGAGTGGAGGATTGGGCCCCGGCCCTTCCTCCCAGCCAGGGGCGCAGTCTGCAGGCTGGGTGCGCTCCTTCCTTCCTCTGCGCCCCGTTATGTCACCATGGCAAACCCCCACGTGGTCCTGTGCACAGCAGAAGTGCCCCAGGGCATCAGGGCCTCCTGGGGGCGCTGGGCAGCGGGCTGGAGGACACTGGGCAGGCCCGGGGGTGTGGCATGCCGCTCGCTCGGTGGAGCCCCCGGCGCCGAGGCTGAGGAGAGAAGAGGAGAGTCAGAAGGTGAGAAATCAGAGTGTGGCTCTGGGGGTCCGCTGACTATGGGTGCACAGGACCTGACGTGGGTGGGCCCAAGTCCAAGTACTGCTGCCCAACCTGGCTGCATGCTCTGGGGCCAGCTCCTTAACCTCTCTGAGCCTTCGTTTCTCCATATGTGAAATGGGATTGACAACAGCACCCACCTCATAGGACGCTGGGGGAGTAAGTCCAATCAAGTGTAGGAACCACTTAGAGTAGCACCTAGCAGACGGAATCGAGAATGGCGATTATTATAATTATCAGAGTCTAAGAGTAGACCAAGAAAACTCCAGAAACAGGAAGGACAAAGTGAGACAATAAACATTCACAAGGCCTGGGAGCTAGAGGTGGAATTCTCAATCATGACCAAACACCACGTCCTCGCCATCTTCTCTCACATACCCGCAGGGCTTCCCCCTCTATTTCTTTATGAATGGGCCCAGCAGCCCCATCTGACAGATGAAAAGTATGGGGCTCAGGCAGAGCAGCCAAGCCAGGACTCAAGCCCAGGGCTGTGGGGCATCAGAGTCTTGGTTGTACCAGAAGGCTGTTCTGGAGCATCTGTGAATCAGCGCCCCCGCAACATAGAGTTGGGGCCAAGGGGTAACTGAGTAAACCTGTCTGAGGAGCTGAGCACAGGCAACACTCAAGAAACAGCAGCTGTCACTATGTGTCCCTGATACAACAGGCACCTCTCATCCTCGGGGGGCACATGCCCACAGATGAGCACCCCAGCCCAGGATGGCAGGGGACCAAAGCCCTTCCTGGAGGATCCCATGCTTGCCAAGGGACCAGTGGGGAGGCACCTCCCTCACTGGGCCTCTGCCCATCCAGGCAGCCAGAACTTGGGGTCCCCAGCTCCCCCACAGCCTCACCCCCACCCAGGGCATGCCACCTGTATTGGTCTCACTGGAGAGTTAATGAAGACCAGACACCCACACCCACTACACAAGGGCCCCAGTTTCCTCACTCCAAACAGCACCCACAACCACGGCCCTCCAGTCTCCCTTAAACATGAGAGGAAGCAGCTGCTGAAAGCTGGCAGGACAGCTCCCCACAGCAGGATGGGGGCAGGGACAGGCACGGAAGGTGTGAAGGCCTGGGCTGGCGCAGCCAGGGAGGGAATGTAAGCCTTGGACTTGGACTTGGGGGTGAAGATCTTCAAAATCCCTCCCAGACCCAAGACTCTCCGGCGTGCTCAGCGTGGGCACAGCACACCAGAGCCCCAACCACCGCACTTCCAGGAACTTACCCTAGAGGCAGTGATCGCGGAAGTGCAGAAAGATCTCCCCACAAGAATACGAATCCCGGTGCTGTTGATAATAGCAAAGGATGTTGTTTGTAATAGCAAATGCCCAACAACAGGGGACTGTCTTCTGCAATTATAACGGAAGCACGTGATGGAATCCCAAGCAGCCATTTACAGTATGTCGAAGAAGGACATTCACTGGCATAGAAATATAATTACCATACACGTTGTTACAGTGGAAAACATTTACCAAACAGTATGCGTGGTCACATATTTGTTAAAGATTAAAGTTAACAAGGATTATCTCTGAGTAATTTTTTTATTTTCCACTTTTTGTCTGTTTTCTAAATTTTCTACAATAATCATTTATTACTTTTGTGAAAATAAGAAAACAAACGTTTGTAAAAGATGTGCTCAGAAGCAAGAGACAGGGGTGAGAAATGAGGAGGCATTTGAGACACCAGGTCTGCTCCCAGCTCTACCATGATGTGCTGTGTGCCTGCGAGCACACCCTGCCCCTCTCTGGGCTTCTGCCCATTAGAGGGGGCTTGGGCTAGATGATCTCTGGGGCTCTTCCACCTCTGATATTCTACAATTCAGTCCCCACTGTGTGCCACCAAGGGGAACCCAAGGCAGCTAAGAAAACAGGCTCCCACAATGCAGGGGGACGAGTGTGGCTGTGGGGAAGGAAGGGGTTTGAGAGAACTGAGGGGCACTTAACGCCCTGTGGAGGGGGAAAGAGGGCGACCAAGGAAGGCTTCCTGGAGGAAGTGGCACCTGAACTGACCAGAACAACAAGTAAGGTTGACCAGGGGTAGAAAGAGGGAGGGGCACATACCACAGCTTGGAGATAAGGGAGCATGCAGAGCTTTCCAGGAAGTCCCTGCAATCCCAGCTGACAGCAGGGAAGAAGGGGCAAGTTTCCTGGGTGGAGGCAGGGCTGGGGTGACTGGTCCTGTTTATGCCCAGGGTGCACCTGTATCCTATTTCCCACTGATAAGGGCAGCCCTCTGCCCTGCTACAGTGAGCCTGGCCCCTTGGCTGGGGGCCAGGACAGGAGCACAGTGGGTGGGGCACCTGCCTACTCAAGCCACCCCACCCCACGTCCCCTGAGGCCTGGGCTCTGTGGTCATGGGCCCTCGGTCCGTGGCATTAACAGTGTGTGTGTTAATGATGCAACCAGCAGTGTCAGGCGTATGGGAGTCACAGACCCCTGTGGGAATCTGACTTTTTCCCATAAAAAATATGCACATATGCTGGAAAATGCCGTGATGGTTTCCAGGAGTCCAGAGCTCACGCCCCCACGCCCACCCACAGACCTAAGCCCTGGGTTAACAGAGCCTAACAGTCACACGTGCAGACTGGAGCCAGGCAGCTTCATCCAAGCCCAAGCCCCACCACCCAGAAGCTGTGCCATCTTGGGCAGGTTACTTAACTTCTCAGTGTCCCCAGTTTCCTAATCTGTAAGATAGGAAAACTTGACATACTTCCCGAAGTTGTGAAAATTAAATAAGTTGCTAGATATGAAGTGCTCAGAACCAGCCGGCACACAGCGCTGAGTGACGGTCAGCCACTGCTTTCATGCCCCGCCGTGGCTTACATAACGCACTCACATGTAGGTAACAACAGGGCCCAGAGAGCAGCGTCCAGCTCCGTGCTCTCTCTGAGGTCTCCGACAGCACTCAGAATCCCTAATCTCCATTTCCAGAGGCAGTGGCCTTTCCCAGGAGCTAGGTGGACAGGCAGGGGCTGGATGGTTAGAGGCCAGGAGGCTGGCAGAAGGCCATGGCAGAGACCAGGCCCAAGAGGCGGTGAAGGGAGAAGGAGAGTGGGCCTCCCAGCCCCTGTCCTCAGGGAAGGCCACAAACCCCGGGGTGGGGGTGGCAGGAGAGCTGGTTGCTTGGTAAACAAGGTGCTGGCCCCCAGTGCACTGGCAGGGGCCTCCAGCACTGCCCCCACTGCACCTCCTCAAAGGCCTGGCGCCTGCCATTCAAGGCCCTCCAGACCCGCCTGCATTCCAGAGCCCCTGTGGCTCAAGGGATGGAGAAGTGGGGGGCTTCTAATCCCCCTGGAGCCACCAAGGCCTTGAGGACAGCTGGGTCTCAGCTGGACTGAGAGCTGAGGCCTCACTACCTCCCTGCAGCCCCGGGCCCGCCAGAACCTCGCCGACATCACCAGCCATTCTCCTAAAGTCCAGCCTTGCCCAGCCAGTCACCAGTCTTGGTCGTGCATCAAGGCCTGTGCTAATAAAGTTCCCACTGCCTGGAATGCCTGCCCCTCGGGATGCTTACTCATCCTTCAAGACCCCAGCTCCAATGTCATCACCTCTCTGAAGTCATCCTATCCACCACCCCTTTCCCACTCCATGTCCCATTCCTCAGGCTCCCGCCCAACCCCACTGGGTCCTAGAGAGGATTGTGGGGAAGCCAGAGAGTGGGAAGCTGAAAATCAGGACCCTCAGGCCAAAACCGGACACAGATGTATGTTCTTTGACTTGCACGCATTTTTCTTTAATTTGAGATTAGTTATTAACGTTTTAAAATCAAGAGATTTCACATAAAAGTCAGAACTTCTCTTTAAAAGGAGCCCATTCTGGTGACACTGGGCATGCATCCCCACCAGCCACTATCAGCAAGGCACATACAACGCCAGGCTCAGATGCGCCAGGCGTGTATTCTCCAGTTAACGCAGCCCATAACCAACCTCCTTCCTGCCCAGCCCCTGGGCGCACCTCAGTGTGTGGTCCATGCAGAGTAGACTCGGGGCATTTCTACACCTGTATCCTGCAGATCCCAGGGCAGGACCAGGACTTACTGACCTGTGTGTGGGCAGATCCTGCCTGGCACCTGGCACACACAGGCTCTCCACAAACACCAACTTCCCTTCTTCCTCTTCCCCACATGCCTGGGAGCCCTAAAGGGCAGGGACCAGTTCAATTCATTGTGGAAGCTCTCACCACTTTCCCAGGCATAGGTCCTTATTGAGCACTCAGGATATGAATGAATGAACAGCTGTAATTATGCCCAGTTGACAGGTAAGCAGCCTGAGGATCCAAGGTGAAGTGACTTGCCACAGTCACACTGGAAACCGCTAAATCTTGACTCAAACAGGTTTCCTTCCTGATTTCAAATTTGGTCTTTCATTCCTCCATAAACCCAGGAGTTTCTACAACAAAAATAACAACAGCAATAGTACCACTATAATTGTCATCATTGTTATTTTTTCTGCTATCGTGTAGTGTGCATTTATCATGAGCTTGGCGCTGTGCTAAGTACTTTTACATACCTTATCTCACTGAATCCTTATGACTAATACTGTCATTATTCACATTTACAGTTGAGGGAAATGAGGCTCAGACAGGTCAAATCACTTGCCCAAAATCACAAATCTAGTCATTGGCAAAGCTGAAGTTTGGACCCAGAGTCCACGAGAGGGAGATAGCTCCAGAGCCTATGGAGGAACCTTGGCTGGAATAGGGGAGATAATGAGGGGGCCTCAGCCACCGAAGCCTCCAGTCTTCAGCCAGGCTCCCACTGTGCTCTCCCAGCCCTAGGCCCAGCTTTTCCTGCCAAGGTGCTAGAGATAATGAATGAGATGCTCTGGTCGTCATGGAAATGCCATGGCAACGCCACACTTTCGGGAAATGCCACGGTAACTGTGGCCACTGCTCTGGAGTTGAAAGTCACTCCCTACCCCACCCTCCCCTCCAAAATTCTCTGGCTTCCCCACAATCCTCTCTAGGACCCAGAGGGAAGGAGGCAGAGGTACAAAGGCTGTGTAGCAATGAGGACTGGGGAGGAGTCCAGCCCTGCCCTGGATGGACAGGTGGGCTCCAGGAGTGAGACCGAGAGCTCCCTGAAACTAGGCTTCCTGTGCTTTTCGTGGTGAAACGCACCTAATGACTCAGCTTGCATGTACTTGGTGCCTACTGCATGCAGCAAGCCTCCTGTGAAGGGCTGTACGCATCACGCTGCTGCGCGCCAACAAGCTGAGAGGCAGCAGGACAGTGGTGGCTAACATCACACTTACGGGTTTAGACTGGAGCCAGCCTGCCTGGGTTTGACTCTTGCCTTCAATCTCCACTAGCCTTGTGACCTTTGGGCAAATCTCTCTGAGTTTCCTCAAGTATAAAGGAAGGTTTACACTACTTACCTATCTCGTGGGGCTGCTGCTAAGACTGAGAGAGATGATGTGTGTAAAACAGCTAAGCGCCTGGCACACGCTGATAGAAGCTAATAAAATTATTATCCATTCAACAGATTTGGAAACTGAGACTCAGGAAGGAACTGGCCCAAGGTCACATATCAAGTTAACAGTGCATTCAAAAAGAGAGGAAGGGAGGTCAGGTTTGGGGGCACACTGGGAGTTGGGAACAAGCAGAGACCCATTCCCCGTTCCTGCATCCTGTGCTCAGTGAGCACTAGGAGCTCCCAAGCATGGCACTGGGCACTGAAGATGCAGGCCTTTGGGCTCCAAGGTTTTGTGTCTCTGGTGTGATGCCACTACAGGGTGAATGGAGGAAGGTCCCCACAGCCCCGCATGCTCACCCAGCCCTGCCTGGGTCATTCCTGACAGTGCCCCCAACATCCCCCACACTCACATGCACACAAATGCACAAGCAAATTCACATGGCGCTGACACGTTCAAATGGTGTCATCACTGGCACCTGGGCCACAGGCACAGCATGGGGCGGGAGCTGAGGAGAGGTGCAGGAAGAGCCCTGCAAGCAGGCTCAGAAGTGGGTGTACGGGTATCCGAGCTCAGGGAGGATGGGCGGCTACAGGCCCAGGCACTGGCAGCCCCACATGCAATCCCAGGGCCACTCCCCACAGCTAACCCAGCCCCTCCCAGACTGCCACACCCCCGGCACAGTCACACCACCACCCACTACCCAGCCACACCCCACAGCCGCCCAGCTCCACCAGCCACCCTGCCCCAGCCTGCCCCACCCACTATGTACAGCGCAGCAAAGAAAATCCTCCACATTTGCTTCCCAGCTGTGCGGGAGTTTCTCCTGCACAATTACACCCTGGGGACACCAAGACCAGAAGTAAATCCCTTCCTCTGCTGCAAGCTGCTGCACACCCCATCCCCCACAGCCCCGCAGTGCTGCCTGGCTGGGGGCCAAGTTGCTGCCCATCAGTCACCCCAGAGTCCAGGGCTGCCACCAAGGGACCATCGGCAGTCTAGCTCAGAGTCTCAGGTTGCAGAGTGTGCGGTCTGCCCTGCAGTGAGCACATGGGGACGCTGAGGCCCAGAGAGAGAAAAGGACCTGTGGGGTTGCGTCAACTAGGGCTGCCCCACCCCCACCTACCGTGGCCCATTTTCTTGTCCATTAAAACCCTGCCATCCTTCTCCAAGGCCAGCGTCAGCCCAGAGTTGACTTCTTCGTCGGCTGTAGATTTCAAAAGTCCTAGATGAGCTCTTCTGCTCTGCATCCCACCATGCAATGCCAGATTCATGCTGCCAGATGTCAGCTATTCTCGCAATTAGAACACTGGTCCCCCAACTGCACCGAAAGCTTTCCAAGGCAGAAGCGGTCCCCTGCCCATGGTAGGTGCTCAAGATGTGCCCTTCCCAACCACCTTCCCCTTTGTGAATCTGCTATGAGAAATCTCCAAGCTAAATGCATTAATAATATGAATTTCCATTTATTAGACACAATATGCCTGTACTACAAGTTATTATTTAACCCTTACAGCAGCACCATGACCTACATTTCCCTCATTTTACAGATGAGGAAACTAAGGCCGGGAGGGGCCCATGACTTGCCCCAGCCCACAGAACTAAGGGTGACTGGGAATCTGAACACGGAGCCACCCTGCTCCGGAGCCCAGGCTCATCCTTTAGCACCAGGGCCCTCTGTGTTCCCCAAGGACAGCGGACACACATGAGTGCCCTGGACCTCCCATTCTCTGCTCCCTCTGGATGGTGTTTTCTGCTTTTGTTTTCATCCATTTGATGTGTGTTTTAACATCAAAAGCAGTCTCTAATGATCCTTCTTGGAAGCAGACCCACAAATCTTCCATCAATAAACAAGCGAACAAAGCATAAAGCACTGGTCGGCTCCCAGGTTCTCAACCCGGGGTTTGTTCTGGGTTCCCTGGCAGGGACTGCCTCACAGAAAATCTCAGGAACTCAGACCCCACTTGGTGAGAACCTGTTTTCTTCCGACTGGACCTGAGATGAGAGTTTACCTTTGCACCAGCTCTGAAGAAAGGGCTTACTGAGAAAACAAACAAGACAGCTGTGGGGAGGGTGGGAGGGGGGAGCAAGACAGGTCAGGACCAGCTGCCCTCCCGTCCCACTGCAGCTCCTAATGCAGACCAAGGTGGGCAGGCCCATCACAAGGCATGCTATTCACTAGCCCATGAAGCTTCCCAAATAGGGCTCTTTCTCCGCTCAGCTCCCAAATCCATCTACGACAGTCGATCATCCCTAACTATTTTCCCTAGGCTCAGATCATAGGCACTCGAAAGGAATGGAATGATATTTCCTTGCAAATTATCATAACCTCCCTTGCTGACAACAGCCAGCACCGACTGAGCTCCTGGTAACTCACCAGCCCTACACTGGGGCCATGCTGACAGTTTTCCCTGATTAATCACACCCAATCCTCACACCCTGGTGGTAGTGTCACTGACATGTGCACTTTACAGACATGGAAAGCTAGGCTCAGAGAGGGTAAGCAGCTGACTCAACGTCACCTAGCTGGGCAGTGGTAGTGCTAAGATGACCCCACACCAGCCCACCTCAGAGCCCCTACACAGTCCTGCTGCCCAGCATTCCACACCATTCTTGAGTGAGGTCTGAGGCCCAGTGGGCACCCAGAGAGAGGCTTCCTGCAGGTGCTCAGCCTCAGCTGCCTAAACGCAGGCTGACCCAGCTTCTCCAGCAATAGGAAAGCCTTCACTGGCAGAGAAGGGCACCATGCATCCCAGAGAAGCAGGGCCTCAGCTGGAGGGTCCTCACCTTCCCCTGCGCCAGGAGCCTCTGTCAGCCCAGACAGGCAGGGATCCCACATGAGAAAGGGGGACTGCCTCCATGCCCTAAGCAGAGGCCTCATGCCAAGGAAGAGGAGACAGAGGTCGGAGTGAGGCTCAGAAGCACGAGATCCCAGCCAACGAGGACAATGGTGACCTGCACGCCCCACGGGTCTGCCATGCCAGGTATTATACCAAGCACTTCCCAATCATGACCTCATTTATTTGTCACTTATTCCCAATGAAGTAGAACCAAGTTTATCATGCCCTGAACTTCTCCCCTGTCTGCTGCTCCTGCAGAGAAGCCGGGAAATGCCGTCAGCCCCCACCCTCCCACATGCCCCCAACAAGGTTGCCAGATGCCCCTTGAGAGATTCTGAGAAGCAGTCTTAGTTGGGGGGACCTCCATCTCGTGGATGCAAAAGCCAAAACCCATGTGGGCCTAGAGGACATGTCAGCATCCAGCACCTCCACTCGCTCCCTGTGTGCCTCTTGGCAAGACCCTTCCCTTCTCTGAGCCTGTTTCCTCAACTGCACAATGAAGGATGTGGACTAAATCAGAAGTCTGTGACCTCCTGGGGTTACAGAATCCTTTGAGAATCTAATGAAGGCTGTCAGTGGACTCTCCCAAGACAGATGCCACATTCCATACAAATTCAGGGTAGTTGTGACTGGCCCACCAAAAGCCAAGTTAAGAACATGGAAACTCTCTAGGGGCCCCTCTGGCTTTGACGAGCCAAGGCTCTCGGAGTCTAGAGAGGACTGAAGCCACGAATACAACATCCGAGTGCCCTGGGACCTCACCATTCTAGCTCCTGCCCTGGCCCTACAGTAAATCTTTAACTCTTGGACCTGTTGGCTTCAGGTGGATCTGCGGACTTGCCGAGCTGTCAGGAGAAGCCACATGAGAAGCTATGTGTGACACTGAAAAGGCTTCCTTCCCAGCCCTAAGCCG